TGCTACCGTGACGGCAAGGGTGCCACCAAGAACATCGGCACTGCCCGATACTGGTATCAAAAGGCAGCTGCACAGGGCAACACTTTTGCACAAACCAGTCTCGATCGACTCGGATAGACCCTGTATTTTCCATTTTCCATCAGCTCGAGTCTGTTGAGATTTCCCAGTGAATACCGATCTCCTCGTGGCAGTCATGAGGCGTCTTCCCACACTCGGGATCGGTTTGGATATCTGCTGTTTATGATAGTTGTATGGATTTAAGACAGCCAGCCATCAGTTCCGTATTTTGCCCAGCAGTGGGTGAACAAGCATGCCCATGCACCCCTGTTGTGGCTCTCGTCAACTCTTCAGTTCATACGGCGAGCCATTCGGGGGGGGGCGTACTGCTTTTGAGAGGGTGTAGAGGGACAAGCATGTCTCCAGGTCCCGCTCGGGGATTCGTTCGGCTGGGTCATGGGAAGCCAAAGTACGGGACATTCTCAAAATATCTGATTGCGGATTTTGTCGTTGTCGGATCATTCGATGTCTCCACGGGTCCGTCAGCGTAAGGTTGTGATGGGACACCACGGGCTTGTGGAGTGAAGGTATTGAATATAAAACATAACATCACTCAGCGATCGTTGCTTCATTGGAACCACGCTCTAAAACACTGTTTGACGTCTCCGTGACTGGGATGGGTGTTGACATCCTGGTTACTTGACTGTTCTGATTACCTCTGCATTGTTGCAGCTTTTTTGTTTGGATATGATGCACTCATGTGAAATCGGGGATCAATGCCACTCGCCGAGCTCCTTGAGTCTCTCGATGGCGTTTTTGTGTCCCTGGTCGGCGGACTTGTGGTACCAGAGGACGGCAGTGTCGATGTCTTCAGGTACCCCTTCGCCATGTTTGTAGCATCTACCGATAGAATCTTGTCCGTATCGATTTCCCTGCTCGGCCGATCTGCGATACCACTCGAATGCTTTGGCAAAGTCCTTGGTTACTCCGTATCCCCAGTAGTAGCATACACCAGTCATCCACTGCCCGTACGAATTGCCTTGGTCGGCCGATTTGCTGTACCACTCGAATGCCGTAATTCGGTCCTCCAATACTCCCAGGCCCCAGTGGAGGTATTTTCCGATCCGCAACTGGCTGTCGCTGTGGCCGTCGTTGGCGAGCTGCTCAAAGACACAAGCTGCCTTCATCCGGTCCTGGGTAGTGCCGAAACCATGGTGCAGACACAGAGCCATGAAGTGCTTGCAGAGCCAGTCACGATCTGATCCCAACTGGCAAAACTGGAAGAGCTTGCGGGCAACGGGCGAGGTGGAGTTGGCATCACCGTATGCAGCCAGACTCTCGGACTCTCCGAGCTTGAAACGGTCCGACTTGTTCTCTCGGATGATCCTGACACCCCTTGGCTCGTCGCGTACGGTTCCTCGGCCAAGGTAGTGCATCCATCCGACCATGTGAGTTGCGATGGGTTTGATGATCGGATCGGTGGACTGGGTGCTGACTTCCTGCCAGTGGTTGAGCGCATTAACTTCGCTCTGTTCGACATCATGGCCGATGAACGAGAGCCACCCTTGGAGGAACACGATATGGTGCCGGCCGTCTTCACTGCCTTGGTCGGCAGCCTTTGAGTACCACTCGATGGCTGTGTTATACTCTTGATCGACACCTTCACCATTCTCATAGCATCCACCGAGGGCAATTTGAGCCTGAGATATTCCGTGATCTGCAAGTCTGCGATACAGTTCCACGGCCTTGGTGAAGTCTTGTTTGACGCCGCGACCGTTGAGATAGCATTCTGCAAGATGGAACTGGGCCATGGAATGGCTTGCCTTGGCTGCCCGCTTCAGATGGTGGAAGATTTGCTGATGCTTGGCATTCTCTTCAAGCTCATCGTCATCGTCTGCTTCTGTGTCGTTCTCAGATTGCAACACCCGAGCAAGGAGATACGAGACCGGTGCGTTTCCTTGGTCTGCTTGAGCAACGAGCCAGGATCGGTCGGCTGCAGCCTGATCCTCGAAGTGTAGCGAGAGGGCGATCTGGTCGCTCGGTGTGAGACCGATTCGCAGGTGTCCTTCCAGATTGAGTAGCTCCATGCTCTGACACCAGCGGTGGAAGCGAGGCATCTTGGAGCTCAGGAGGGGTCGGGCTCGTTTGCATACTCTGAGCAGGATCTTGATGGTGTTGTGGTCGAGGGCAAGCTGGAAACCGTCGTTGCAGCATATGATGGTGAATCTATCTGGGTAGTGTTCATCGATGGCCGGGTGAGCCATGTTGGCTGAATGATGCAACAGACTAGGATGTGAGGAGAGTGCAGTGATGATGTCCAGGCGAGATGGGTGGAATGGAATGAGAGTGGCACAGTCACGAAACCAGGATCGCATTGGATCCATGGATCGAGTGCCAGTCAACCAATGCTTGTCACCCGCATTCCCACACATCCAGCATCTGTCATTACCACCAGCGTTAGATATCGATTGGTTTGGCGGCAACTCACACTCAGACATGCAACGCCGTCCTCCATCGACAACTGTCATGATGATCACCATCAGGGCCCACAGATCCAATGCCGAGACAGAGATGGGGTTGGGAATCGAGACAGCGACACAGAGGAGATACACAGATCTTCCGATGTGCCCAACTGGACTCAGCTGGTCTGGACGTGGTGAGTAGTGAGCGAGTGGTGAGTGAGTGGTTGTCGATGGACGACATCATTGCCTTGATGTGCGAACCAAGCACAAATACAATGCACACAGCCGCATGTCAGCTTTGGGGAAGCTACTGCCCGAATGATCCACAAAGTACTCTGCCCATATCATATGCATGATCACACCGAGTCCGTATGCTCACCCACAATCAAGACTGCATCAAAACCCGTCGCGCAACCTCCAGAGAAGAACATCAAGGTGTGCTTGTGTTGGCAGGGAAATACGGATGGCAGGGAAATACTGATGGTAGAGAAACACTGATGGCAGGGAAACCTGATGGCATGGAAATGTGAATGGCCAAAGAGTTCCGGTGCCTCGAGGCCATCAGACAAGACTCTAACGAGGACCATCAAGACGCTCATCCGACCTACGATGGAGAATGGACTGATCCTCGAGATCCTCAGCAAGCGGCAGGCGGTAGCACTGTGGGTCGAGCGAGGATCAAAAGTGGAGAGGTGCTACTGCAGCATGATAGCGAGTTGAGTACAGGCACCGCTCTGACCATCCATAGGGAATGTACAGACCCTGCAAGCAGTGCACCAAGGTCGAGGAGATCTTTGCATCGCTGAGCCTCGACCACTCCCCGAGCTGTGTTGATGGGGATGATTGAATGCAACAGGTGAATGTTTCGTCGAAGATCCGAAACTCGGATATCCCGGCTGGAACAAGAGCAATCACGAAAGCGTCGGGACAGTCGACAAGCTGCTCGACCTGACGACTGCGACTGGCTGCTGCGATCGGTTACAACGAACGACGTGAGATGCAGATATCCGATCGACAACACCGAATGTCAAAACATTGTTGAGGACACTTGGAAGAGTGTTCGGGTTACTCGTCATCATCAATGGTGGACGGAAACGTCCGAGACGACAGGAGCAGAGTCAAGCCGAGCACGATGGAAAGCGACAAGCTTGTACTTGTGTGGCTGATTGACATTTATCATACCTTCACGACTGTGATTTGCAAGCACAGACGAGGTATAGATGTCCCTCAGCTTGAATAGAGAAAATTACAAGCAAGCTAAAATAAAACTATCCCCCCCCCCAGTTCGAGGTTCGGTGCCACGCCCCATTCCCCATGCCAGTCATAATCAATAGCCGAAAAATCACACGTCCCGGGCGGGCTCTCAAAAGTCAACAGGAGGCCATGACCTGAGCCACGGAACAGCAGATGTCCAAAAACAAGAGCAAAATAACGACCACACCAGGGGTCGAACCTGGAATCTCTTGATTCGTAGTCAAGCGCCTTATCCATTTGGCCATGCGGCCGATTTCTTGGAAAGGTCGAAAAAAATTGAGATCATAATGGCAAATTTATCAACCTCAACCGCCATGCCGCTCCATCACCGCCGCATCATACTGCCCAGCGCTAATCTCCACCCTCGACATTTGAATTGCTGTTTATATATATATTGTAATTCTATTCGTGCCACGCTGCGAAACACAATGGCGGCACCTGGTCGTCAAAATGGAGTATTTACTTGGCCTAGCGCCGAGTCATCCAGGGATAGCGGTTCCAAGGAGCCTCATATGGTCCGGCTGTTCCATGCTCCAATATTTGCGCCGCAAGTTGTGAGCGAGTCAGATCATGCCGATAAATTTCCCAGCAACCACAGCCGGATTTATCCGTAGCTCTGCCGAGCAAATCATGCGCGCTGAAAGTGTGAGACAAGCTTTACCGTCATCGCTTGTTCCAAAAGAATCTATTTGAACGCCGTATTCGTGTTGGAGGAGTGGTCATTCTCGTTCATAGGACTATTGAAACACGCTGACAAGCCCAATCAGGTGACGATATCAACAGGCCCTCCGTATTGCCTCGGGCAGTATCGATGGGTACGACGGCCGAGCGACATCACAGCCTTCCAAATAAAAGAAATAATGCGCACGGACGAGTGAGGAACAGGTGTGATGGAGGACACACACTTAAATGTTGGTATGACATGACAAGACCGACAATCGGAATCAGAGTCAGAATCACAATACGGCGAGACAAAAAGTGCATGGTCCGGGAATCGAACCCGGGTCTGCCGCGTGGCAGGCGGCAATTCTACCACTGGACCAACCATGCTTGAATGATAAGGTTATTCCAATATGCTATATGAATACAGTAATGCTTGACGCCGCAAACGCAGCCACCAGCTATTCTTTCGACACCACAACCACTGCCATCAGCATTTCATTCGACACCGCAACCACTGAAACCACGGCAACCACTGCTACCACTGCTACCACTGCTACCACTGCTACCACTGCTACCACGGCAATCATTGCAACCACTGCAACCACTGCAACCACTGCTACCATTGCTACCATTGCAACCACTGCAACCACTGCTATCCACCAAAGGCCGAAATTTGCGGCATGTTGCCCAATTCAACATGGTCACAGTGCCAGATGGGTAGCGATCGTTTCAACTTATGGCTCTGGATCCATTTATTCTTCGCATGATAATAATGCATCCCTGTCAACGCTGGCCTCCAAAAACCGAACTTTGGATAATATAAGGGATTTGCTCTCGACATTCGCGTCTGTATATCAACGACTCACTTGCCTCTGAGTCACTGGTGTTGGCTTTTGGAGGCTCCAAATGTGATATCTTATTGTCTTCACCACGGTTGCCATTTCGAAAGATCCGTTTGCAAAGGAGCGACCATGTCAAGTATCTCATGTCCAGTCAAGTACTACAAGACCTGAGAAATCATATCTTTAGATGTGATTTCGGAATTGAATATCCACCGCAGCTCATTCGAGGCGTGGCCGCTATTCGTTTGAGGTGTCTCTGTTCAAAGTTATCCCTCAAACAAAGCACCATACGGTCAACAAGATATCGGGACATTGCGGGAGATCTGTTAGGGAAGATTAGGGAGAAACAGCAAGCCTGTATACGTGAAGAGATATATTATGATGAAGGAACAAGAATATCCTCGAACAAGGAGTAATACTGGTTTGGGGTGAGCATGGGCTTTATAGGAAGATATCCTGTCGTGGCGCGCGCGGTTCAGGGCGCGCCGGATATGTTCCCGCCAACGTTGGTTCATAACAAGATCGCCCTTGTACGATTGTATGATTGATATGGAGTGCTGACCTGGGTGATCATACGTGCATGGTTGATATCGATCGGCTCCATCACATCTCGCGTCTGGGGACAGGTAACGGATGATCAAGCGGATGGCCAAGCGGATGGTCAAGCGGATGGCCAAACGGATGGACAAACGAAGTACATGCGATTTTACACTCTGGATGTCCTTTCCCAGATATTGACCATGTATAATCTTCAATCGAAGTTGTACAATTTACTACGTGGCTGAAGCGGGCGCGGAAATATGTGTCTGTGTAATGCGCAGTATTCTCGTCGGATTTACGGATCAATGTTCAGCTTCGAAAAATGGCAGCTTGTGCCTGCGGCCGAAGAGTGGTCGCAAAGCTGTGTCGGCTCGGCCGCTCCCTGTGGGCAAGTGGAGAAGGCATCCGTGAGCAGAAATGGGGTGTTTATTTATTCGGTATATACTGATGTCGCATTGTAGACAGAGTTGATCACTTGCGCGGGAGAATGGGTTAAAGTACACAGCGCATTTTGGCTTTGAGCGGACAGCAATGAATTGCAGTGGTTGCCGTAGTTGCCGTAGTTGCCGTAGTTGCCGTAGTTGCCGTAGTTGCCGTAGTTGCCGTAGTTGCCGTGGTTGCCGTGGTTGCCGTGGTTGCCGTGGTAACAGTGGTAGCAATGATTGCCGTGGTTGCGGTGTCGAATGAAATGCTGATGGCAGTGGTTGTGGTGTCGAATGAGTGGCTCATGGCTGCGTTTGCGGCGTCAAGCATTGCTGTATTCATATAGCATATTGGAATAACCTTATCATCCAAGCATGGTTGGTCCAGTCAATAGGTGGGTCTTTATTAAAGACTTTGCCTTAGCGTCCCTTTTGGGCTCTGGCACTGGGTGTTGGCTTTGCCAACCGGGACATTTGGGTCGTCGGTGTACAGCTCTCTATCCCATGGGGCCTGTTTGCGGAGGGACGGCGATGTCAAGTTTTGCCGAACTCATCCATTCAGTGACAGTTTGGGACTCCAGCTCCGGCTTCCCTGTCCAAGTGTCTGCTCATGCGTCTGGGAGGGTTTCTTTCTCAGGTACTTGTTTGCTGCGATTGGTCAGCCCGAGGGGCCGCTGTCCACGACAGACATTTGGTTGCGATGTCATCCAGCACCGCCACGACATCCAGCCAGATCGCTGGTCTGTTGTTCAGTACTCGGCTGCGCTTGGCACGCCATCTTCTCTGTTTTTCAGGATCGGTGGTGAGTGGTCTTGTTGGCACTCGAGCCAACTTGGGGAGTGCGTCGATTGCAAGGTCGATGTAGGTGATGCCTTCGGGGATCGATGTGGGGTGAACATATTTC